GGCGCAGGATAGAGCAGGGTTTAGGGCTGTTGTGCATAGGGTCGCTATGAGTCGGAAACGACTCGATGGCACATAACAACAACAATGACATATATATTTTGTGTTTTTCTTTTTAAAAGCAAGGTTAATGCTTTATGCTAATTTTATTTTCTGAATGACCATTTGTCATTAGTATTTTTTAATCTTGCAGGTGATATGAGAATCATTTTCATAGGAATTGGATGAAAAACCCAGAATTCTTTTTAGTGTGGAAATACGATAGAATTTTGTAATGTTCTTTGTTTATTCTAATAGCTTAAGGGAAAAGTAAAATAATCAGTAGGTATTTCTGCTTTTATATTTATGAAAAAATCAGATAAATAAAGAATAGGAAATTATTTTCATATAAAAACTATTATTGTTATATGCCATCTGGTTGGAACCAACTAATAGCTGACCCTTTATTTAGTTATCAGAGGCTATAAATGTCTCAAGAGAAGATTACCCATCTTTCTCCCAAGGAGCAGCTGGTGTATTTGAACTGCCTGCCTTTGAGTTGGCAGTGTAACTCCTTACTGACAAGGCCATTGGGAATCCCTGTATAGCTGTTTCAAATCTATTTAGAGATTTATTGATACTTTTTTGAGAACTGTTTTGTTTAGGACTTTGCCTACTTAAAGCAGCCTTCACATTGTTGTTGAACCCCACAGTCACCATGTCAGTCCCTCGTAACTTGTCTTGTAGGATCATTAATTTAACACCCAGATTGCCTTCACATAATGGAAGTGAACGTAAAAGCAGCAATGTCAAACTTTATTTGTAATTTGATGAGTGTGAAATGAAATATCCACTAAGGTGTTATACTAATGCCTCTCTAAATATACACTGCATTTAATTTTAGTCTGTGCCTGCACCCAGCAATGTTGTCCCAGTTACAGTGATGAAGCCAGTGAATACTGTAACTACCCTAAAACCTTCAAATCTTGAACTCTCATCCACCAAAGCCCCAGAACCCATTCTCCAAACAGAGAACTCAGGAGGTGTTCAGACTAACCTTTCTTTGGTAAGTTTTCACAAGAACTTCCATAGATCTAATTTCTTACAGATTTTCCTCAAGTTTCTTATTTATTAACTAACTTTTGTAATTAGGGTTTGTTTTATATTTATATCTCTGTGTTTAGGCAATGCAAGAAAATGTGAAGAAATGTAAGAACTTCCTTGCAATGTTAATAAAACTTGCATGTAGTGGATCCCAGTCCCCAGAAATGGGGCAGAATGTGAAGAATTTGGTGGAACAACTTTTGGTAAGTTATTGCCACAAATCCTTACAAGGTCTGTAAGGACCCGTAACACTTAAGCTGAATGACAAATATGTGTGTGTGTTTTATTGAGCCTGAAGTGAAGATTTCACAGAGCAACTGGATTTCCTTTTCAGTCACTTATGTACATTTTGTTTTATGCCATTAATTACTGTCCCCACATTGTAATAACACTCTTCTGACTCCTCCTTTGTGATTCTTATTTCTGTTCTTCCTCTCTCCTAGCATATCTGTGTGCTGAGATTTTTTGTCCCCTTGGGCAAATATTCCCCTTTTGATCAGACATAATTTATTGTTCTGAAATAGTCACCTTATGTCTATTGTTTGGCTAAATGTTAAGTTCTACCAAAAGGGATTATTAAAAATTCTTGTCTTACCAGTCTCTTACCAGTCCAGGCAATATTCATTGATCATAATTAGTGACTGGAATGCAAACATTGGGAACAAGGAAGAAGGACCAGTAGCCGGAAAATATAGACTTAGTGACAGGAATAGACTGGAGATAGAAAGATAGAATTTTGTACAATCAATGATTTATTCATTGCAAATCACCTTTTATAAAAGACACAAATGGTGACTATACACATAGACCTCATTTGATGGAATACACAGGAATCAGATCGATTACATCTGTGGAAAGAATCATTGGAGAAACTCAGTATAAGCTGTGAAAACTGGTTGTGAAACAGACCATTAGCTATTCATGTGCAAGGTCAAACTGATGCTAAAGAAAATGAAAACAAATCCCCAAGAACCAACACTACTTATAGGGGCAAACAGAAAATCATCTTAATATTAATATGAAAATCATTTAGATGCCAAAAATTCCTGAAAGACCTCTAGCATAAAACTGTGTAAAGGTTGCTTAGTCCTTTTGAGAGTTTACAAATCATTTTCATTCAGTCAGTCATACATATTTAATAATCTTAATTATAACTAATATAATTAATTATACCAGTATATCTACTCTTATGGCCTTGCAGTGTTGTTATTGTGTGCCTTCCAGTTGCAACTAACTCATAGCTAACTCTCCAGAGAGTTGGCAGATGGAGTAAATGACACTGGAGAAGATTGCCGATCTTTCTTCTGGTGAGCAGCTGGGAGTTTCAAACCGAGTACCTTTGGGTTGTCAGTACATCTCCTTACTACTAAGCCATCAGGGTTCCATATGGCCTTGTAGTAGTAGTAGATGATTTTAATCATCTGAGTTTGGGTAATTTAAAAATTGGAAAAAATGAAACAAGAAACGAAATTTCCTGAGTCCCAGCAACTCTGGTGGCATAGACTGTAACACATTGACATTACAAAACAAGTAGTTTCTTACATCTTACTGTAACTTACTTAATCCTGTCCTGAGTAATTGATAGTTTCTGTGTCTTCCCTTTCAAAGTGTCCATAAATGACTATAATGATGTCATATTATTTAGTTACTAATTTTTCTGCCAGTCTGCGTACAGGGATTTTAAAAAGTCTTCCTTTTATAGTCTTCAGTGAACGCTGAAAATTGCTTAGAGGATGTGAGAAACCTTTCCCCTCATTAAATGATGATTTTTTTAAACCAGTTATGAAAAACTTGCTTTGTTTAGATTTATAGCAAATTATATATAATAAAAAATTATATACTTTGCCTCTGTGAAAAATATTTGTCGGCCTTAAGTGTGTGTTTCTTTCTCTCATTACACAGGATGCAAAAATTGAAGTAGAAGAATTTACTAGAAAACTGTATGTTGAACTCAAATCTTCACCTCAACCTCATCTAGTCCCGTTTCTTAAGGTAGAGTTACATGTTATCTTGAAGAAAGTGTTTGAATTAGAGTAAGTTAAAAGAATTTAATACCTGATTAAGTATTTGAATATGGCAGTAATATAACGAAAGAATGCTAGTAATATAGGAGAAATATCTCAGCTCTATTTTAAATAATAAACCATGTTCCTTGTTCATCATACCTGTTCTGTAGATTCTGTTGGGAAAACAAGTAATTATCATTCATGAATATAACTTAATTTTGTTTAGTGCTTATACAGAAATATATAAGGACTCTTCAGTGTTCTGAAGAGAATCATCAGGTTGACAGCAATGGGAAGGCAAGGATAGAGCTTTAAAAATTAAAATAAAATATGCACATCCAAAAATGTCTCCAAGAGGGTATAAAGGGAAGCCACAGACTGGGAAAAAGTATTTGGTAATGACATGTCAGATAAAGGCCTTATATCTAGAATTTATAAAATACTTGAGCACCACAACAAGGTAAAGGTGAATAATCCAATTGAAAGATAGGCACAGGATATGAACAGACACTTCACCAAAGAAGACATTCAGATGGCCAACAAGCACATGAAGAAATG